CTTCACCAAACCGCCGCCTTCTTTGCGTTACGGCTTGTGTTACCACAGGTCGCCCAAGCTCACTATAGGGACGCGGACGTGACTCTTGCTTGCGAGCGGCGTTGTGTTACAAACAGTTATTTATAGGATGTAAACGGTTTTTTTTTAAAGAGAGAAAAAGTGTCATGTTTTTTAATAAAATCTGCTTACCTTATTGCCTTGTTGTATTCTTTGTTGCCGCCTGTGGTGTTACAAGAAGGTTCTGGTGATATGATAACTAGCATAAGACTGGGTCGGTCAATTTGCAGTTTACGCGTATAGCTGTCGATTTTCTTTTTCTTTTAAAACTTTAAAAAAAACAAAAAATTCAAACCAAAAAATACCGTAAATCCTCTATTAAGCTCCCCAGGGGGGGGGGCTTATTTTTCTTCAAACAGTTTTGAGAGGGGGCTTAAAAGAGAGGGGGGCCTTATTTAACTTAGCGAAACGCATCACCTGTAGCAAAAATATCGTGGTAACAGACAGAGTAGACTTAAGTTTTGTACAATTAAAGTCACTGTCAAAAGTATTTAATTCACTTATTGGAGCCTAAAACCAACAAAAACAAAATTCTTATTCTTCAAAAATGTGCTTTCGGCCTCATATGAAGTTGGAGACAATGCGGCCGAAGACCAAAAACAATATGAACTTCCAGCCTGAATAAACCATAACTGATCAGTCCACGTTAATCGTTAATTTTTTGTAAAGAAGAAGGATGGGGGGAGAGGGAGGGGGGCTTAATAGAGAAGGGGGGGGGGTATAAGAGAAGGGGGACTTAATAGAGGATTTACGGTACGCCTGCAAGTTATAACCCTGCGTTCCGGCGAGGGAAGGGGGTACTCCCAAACATTTCGGATAGGTGTGTGTCGCCAAGGGTCTTTAAACCCTGACAGGAGCCAGGGCTCCTGCAGGAGAACATGACCCTGGCCGTGTTTCAATGGGAAAAAGAAAACTGCCTGAAAAATGAGACCCATTTTGAGGAAAAATAAAAAAACTAAGAACTTTACGGAAACAAATAAACGCTTCCTTGAATCGCTTTGCCGCGATTACAACGCTAACTAGGCCAAAATGATACCCTATTTAAGGATGAACACCCTCAAAAACCATACCCTACAGGATGGGCTCCTGACCCTATCAATCGGCTCCTGACCCCATATATCTGTCTGATTTCGTTAAAACGTGGCCACTAGGTTTTCGCCTTGCTCTAGGCCAGTCCGGTGTCCAAAAAAGTAGGGGTCTCGCCGTCTTGGTTGGTACAGCTGAATAACTCAGGGACTGCCCTAACAGTGGGTGGGTGGATCAGGCCTGGGGTTTAAAACTAGTGGGGTAGGGAGGGGGCTATTTTGACACAACCCCTCCAGTAAGCAGCAGTGTTCAGTAGAGGCTTTGACTGGCAGGTACCTTGTCCTTATATAATTGCAGAGCTCGGTGGGAGGAGCAGACAGTCACCCATTGTCTTGGGTGGGGAGGGTCAAAGTCTTTGTACCAAGGACGCACTTAGCATAAGACCTGTAGACACTCACTGAAGCTATGTTTTCATAAATTTAGGCAGATATATAGGGCGTATAACCCATACATGGGAGTACCCCACCCCCAACACTAAGTCCGGAAGCGGTCCCTTCCTCTTCTTGTCTCCCTCGCAGCCGTTTTTTTTTTTTTTTTACATATTTCACAGTCATGCGACCAAGTGCTGTCGTAGTCAATACGACTAATATGGATGTAAAACCACGATAATATAATTTTCTTTTTTCTCTTTTCAAATGCCAAGTTTGTATTATATCTCTGTAAAATTGCAAAATCGACCATTAACTGTCGATTTACAATCTAGAATAGGTGTGCCCTGAGGCTTTTGTTTCCAGCCTGGGGTGGGGGAAGTAGTTTAGAACGCAGACGACGTACTTCCGGTTCATTTTCACGTAGTACGATCAGTATTCTGCTTGCAGAATTTAACTGTACTGCCGGTTGTCGATTCTCTCGACCCCGCAAAAAACAAAAAGTTGGCTGGAAAAGTGACCCGTCTAGCCGGGTCACCCTTTTTAGATGGTAGGGTCACCCTCCTAAGCCGGCTCAGCTTTTCTACGTGTGAACACTTACGGTCGGTTTTTTAATATAAACGCAGTCTCATTTAGACCACTGTTTAGGAAATCTTTGAACCTCCAAATCTCTTCCTTAGTAGGCTATTTTAAATGCTTTTCTAGTCTATTTGATATGCTTGAATGAAACTGTTCACGATAAGAGGTCAGCTTTGCATAAAAGCGTTTCCCAGACTGAAAATGGCTTTGAACGCGGTTTTGCTAAACACTAGAGACCTTAAGGTTGAGTTTTTTCGACATTTCCCGCGGACGGCAAACGTCAAGAAGTCGGTTTGAGGTTCACGTTTGTACGGCTAGATCACGCTCCGAGAGGTAAGTGATTTACCGCAAGGTTTTTTGGCACACTCTGAAAAATCACACTCCCACGTTGGAGAGAAAATACTCCTGCTGCATGTGATTTAACTTGCTACTTTTATATCCTTCTATTTTTTGGGTCCGCCGTAATTGCTGGCTTTAGCTGTTGCGGTGTCCCTGCCCAAATATTTAAGTTATTTATTAGTGTATTGTTACGTTCTTATTACTAGTGTTTGCATATCTTCGGTGTTTTTTTTTTTTCTGTATTCTTCAGGGCAAAGCTAATAAGATAAAAAAATAAATTTTTTAGAACTCTTTCGCTAATTAAATATTGAACCATATTTCAGAGAAACGTTCCTTTGAAGACAATTTCTCAGCTTAAATAGAAGTGAACGAATGAATAAAAACAAAGATGGAAGGCTTGTGCTACAACTTCGCGAATTGTAATTTTCTAAATATGGGTAGACGGATAACGTGAAACCGCTAACCGGAAACTGAGTATTGCCGTTTGCGGTAAGATGGCCCAATCTCGATGTTAAGGTCTCTACTAGCTAACCTCCGTTTAAATAACTGGCCCTTTGGCTCGACCAGCCGGGTCAACATTGTTCTCATCTGCGAGGGTGACCTTCTTTCCCGGGACAACTTTTCTCCATACAAACGGCCGGGGCCTTAGATAAGCGGAACAACAACTTCGCACGCGCATCACGCTTTCGACAGGATGGAGGATGAAGGAGATTTCCTTGATTTTCCTTGTATTTTGCCAACCCAAGACTTGAGTTAGCCTGCAAAAACATCCGTTTCTCCTCGCTCTTCGCCGTTGGGGACGTTCCGCGCGAAGCGTCCCCAGCGGGAAAAAGCGTAGCCTCCCACGCAGGCGTTTATGGGGGACATATTAAATTCGGCAAGCAGAATACTGCAATGCTGATCGTACTACGTGAAAATTAACTCTGCAAGACATCAACACGACACCGAAAGAACTCAAAACAGAGCGGGATTGTAGCCATAGACAGCTGTTTCGCCCTCTTTGGGGCTCGTCAGTATGGCGTAACAACCAGAGATCAGGCTCTGATGAAAAAATATCCGCGCACTCTGATTTTAGCCCTGACCCAGAACTCCTAACACCCACAGAATCACGTCATACCACGTGTCTTTTGGGGGGCAAGAGTCCCAAGTGTCAAGTTGATGTCTCGCAGAGAAAATAAAGAATTGGCCAAAACCAATTTTAAAAACATGGACAAAACCATGCAAAAATAACAGCATATCGGATCTATAAAAGATCTACGGCCCAAAAATATAAAACGCTCTACCGAAGACAACATTCCTTCCCAAGCTTAGCCAATCACATTGTACTTTCCAAATTCTGGAAAGTTGACCTTGACCGCAAAGTAATCTGATAATTACTCGATCTGCATGAAACACTGAGAAAGCTTTCTGACCTCTAATAAATGTTAATAAATTTTAGAATACTCCATGCACTGCGTAACCTTAGCGAAGGAAAGAAAAGAAGGAAAACGGTAACACTAGGGTCACGTTTCAGTCGTGTTTAGCTTTTCAACACTTTATTGCACAACTGTTGATTGGTCACATACCACACAAATAAAACAATGGGAAAGGAATGTTGCTTTCGGTTGATCAAGCGTTTGTGGGGAGGTACGAAAAACGAGCTCCCCTAAAACTGCCTGCGTGGGAAGCTACAAAGAGCGAGGGGAAACGGATGTTTTCGCAGGCTAGACTTGAGTTTGTGCCTTCGTTCCCTGTTATTCGGGAAAGGTTCGTTGTTACCGACTGAGACCTGACTGGCACTTAAAGTCGATGGTTATATCCTTTAAAAGAGCCGTATAAAACGACAAAAACAAACATAACTACACGAATAAAGTTAATGTTGCGAGCTAAACTGACATTTACTTGTTGTAACTTATGATAGGAATTGTTTAGCTATTTGATAGCCACTCGACTGGTTTACAGAACTTTTAGTTAGATTATTTATCTCAAAGGAAACTAAATCAAAATTAAAATCTCTGGATTGATAAAGCATGGAATCTAAAGCCGAGTTGCTCGAAAGACGATTAGAGCAAATCCCTGGTTAGTTACCCTAACAACACATATGCTCTGTTCACAGTTCACTGAGGACTGAAGTCAAGAGCATATCTATACCATGAGAGCATATCAAGAGCATAGGTCTACCTTTAGAGCATAGTTTCTTATAGACTACGAGTAGTCCCCATTTTTCCTCAGGGATAGTAGAGCGAGCGAAACGCGAGCGCGCGTGAAAATCACCCCACGCGGGAAAAGGTGACACGCGGCATGTCGCCTTTTCTCGAGTGGGGTGATTTTCACGCGCGCTCGCGTTTCGCTCGCTCTACTATCCCTGAGGAAAAATGGGGGCTACTCGTAGTCTGAGTTTCTTAGCGCTCACAAAATTTTGGCCGCCATTTCACTTCGCTTCATAGGGTGCTACGCTGGGGACTGTTAACTGCTAACAAACAAACTACCAATCTTGCTACAAAAATAAAAATAATTTTAGCTCTCAATTCATTTAGGAAAGTTTTAAGTGAATTAATTGAAAAAGGTCATGATGTTATAATAAAGAGGGCATTAGGCACACTCGCTATGAATCCACCACTTTCTTGAACCCTCGTTAAAATAGGTTATTTTATCCTTAATGTTAATATTAGTCTTGCAAATTCTGCACCAGGAAGAGAAATCTGCAAGGATAACTTTCCTCGATCCCAATGAATTGTGCTTTAAGGGACTAACCGACGACAGCGAAGATGCAAAACAATTCAGCGGCGATTGCGGCGGTGCTTTTGAACAGAAGATATGTTCAGAATTTTCTGAATCTGGGTGCTTCCTTTTCAGGGGTGAAGTTGGGAGAGCGCCATCCACTGATGAACTTGTCTGCTGGGTTTGTGTACTGGTGCCGGGGGAAGTTGTTCTCAGCCTGGATGTGCTGTCCTCTTTTGCTCTGCTTTCCTCCAAATTCACAAAGTTAGAGACATTTAAAACATTGGGTTGACCTCTATCAACTCTCTCTTCCTGCCAGGAATGGGCATTGTCAACTTCAGGATAAGCAGCGATTGTTTTCAACTCATTTGATTGTGCTTCTTGGGCATCAAATTGTTCCAAGCCATCATCATCGTCATCGGACCAGGATACCTCGAAACATGCCTCTAATTCTCTCAATCTTAATTGGTCAACCGTGTATTCCATGCCGTTAGTATAAGGCCTCTCCTGGTCAGCAGTGTGATGGTTGCTAGAATCACTACCACGGGCCAACCCACAAGGATCGCTTGATTCCACTTGGTGAACCGAGTCATGCATCAGATTAGATTGTAATCTGTGAGGACCAGTTTGTTCGCCGGTTTCTGAGCTATCACCTTCAGACCAAGGCGGATCGCAGTAGTGCAGTTGTCGAGTTATGTCTTCCTTCAGTTTTGTCTGCCGCGGTTCAGGACAAGTATGGATAGCTTTCTGCAGGTAGCTTGGATTGTGAATGATTATTACGCGTCGTATACCACGCGTGATGGCTGTATACACATGCTGCCAGTTTTGGTAATGTGGACGCCCTACCACGTACACCAATGTCTCTATCTCAGAGCCCTGATAGAAAAAATAAAATGCTGTATGTAAGATCTTGCAAGACTTTGTGAATTTCAGACTTGGCAAGTTAAATAAGAGGTTTCAAATCTAAATCGGGAAGTTGTCATAAGTAATCATCCAAACGGAAAACTATTGGTAGAATACATGGGCGCACCACTCTGAAGTTTTTCTTAATAATACAGTGAGGATGCCATACTCTCTAAAACTTATATTTTTCCGTCGTAGGTATGTTCAGAAACAAAAGGGTTGCTCAGAAGACATACACTTGGAGAAGTAAAAAGAAACTAGACTGTCTTCAATGTTGTCATTATATTTTTGTGAACATTCTTTTCCGAGTTCCTTTCTTTACTTAACTATTTTGTTAGATCAAAATAGTTGCTATGATGTAGAACTTCAGTCAAGTGTATGAAATAACATACTGTGTAATCATTTTTACCTGGAATGTATGTATGGTTCGTGCCCAAGCATGACACAGTTTGGCAGCCTTTAGTTCTCCAAACCTGATTTTTAGTCTCGTTTTTAGCATCGTTTGGCCACTGACCAAGATGAAGTAAACTTTCTTTTTTCCCCGACTGTCTTGCTCCTCAGTGATATCATGGATGAAGAATATTTCTCCATTGCATAACTTGACAGGCCTCTTTCCATATACATCATTGCATTCCACATTACGCCTGATACAGATTTTGTCCCCAATTTGATAATCAGGTTTCCTGCTCAAAAGGGAGTGGTTGTTGTAATGGCGAGCGCATTGCTCGTTGATGAGATTGCAATCTACATTGCGGAATGCCACAAATTGTGAGGACTTGGGGTCTTGCAATTCCTCTCGTTTCAAGACATCGTTTATAACCTGTTTGACAACGTCTGTCTCTCTCTGTTTGTCACCTCCATATGAGGAACAATCTATTGAATGAAACATTCTCAAATCATCAAAATGTGGCATCTGTCTGGGAGGCTGTGAAATTTTGACAGCATTTTGAACGATAAGGTCAGAGTCCGAGCGATGATTTGTTTTCAGCGTGACAGCAACACCATGCATTGCAAGTGTTTGGTATACATCACAAAGAAAATTGCCTGGCTCAATAGAGGGCAGCTGCTTTATGTCTCCCAAAAGGATCACTTGCTGCAGCTCTGACCACTCTTTCAGGCAGCTTAGGAGTTTGGAAAAAACTTTGACTGAGACCAGACTGCACTCATCACACACGAGCAGACGCACATTGTGGAACTTCCAATCATTTTCTTCCTGAGACTTTTGTTCCCAGTTTATGAAGCTGTATATTACTGAGTGTAGTGTGTATGCTTCAAGCCCAATTCGGCTCCCTAATATTGAAGCAGCTTTGCCAGTTGGAGCTGTGAGTAACACTGCTTCATCAACTTCCTTTTGCTTCTTCTTTATCTTTCTGGTTACCTCCTTCTGGTGGGTTGAATCTTTGTCATGATCAGCTTGCATATTTAGCCCAGAGGAATGGCATGACCTGGCTTCTTCAGGAATAGCATCAAGAATTACAGCATGGTTATCATCTAAATCATCACAGAAATCTTGGAAAACTTCTTTTTTCATCGAATCTTTGTCACCTTGAGTATCCGGAATTAAAGAATGGCATGGCTTGGCTTCTTTGGGAACAGTATCAGCAATACCGGCCGTGAGCTGATCATCTACATCTTCACAGAATTCTCTGCGAATCTCTTCCTTTTTTCTCTCCAGTGCTTTCAACAAGACTTTTGAGACTACAAACGTCTTGCCACAACCTCCACGCCCGGACATCACAACAACAGGCTTCTCTGTTATCAACTTGGCTGCCTTAATCTGGTCTTCGTCTCCCTCAAATTCCTGCAGTGACCCAACACAGACTTGATTAGAACCATTAATGACATCAACTGAAAATGATTCTATTGCACAACATTACATTTACCAATTTTTTTTAAAAATCTACACTGTAATGAGGCTTTTCGGATTTGTTTAGGAAGAAGGGGAATGACCAAAGTAAGACTACACTAAGCAAATCAAATTGGCATTCATTGGCTGAATGTTGCATGCCTTATTTACCTATTTAATTGATGTGCATTTAGTTCGTTGTTTGAGGCATTACATTTTCTTTGAGTTGTTTTCCTACTCGTATATTGCACACATTTTAGGCATCCTACTGATGAACAGCTATGACCTATTATGGATATTTCGAGCAACAACAATTGCGGTCTGTCCTCTTTGAACTGATAATTCAAATCTTTTTCCTTTAATTTGCATAAAGTAAAGTAGTTTGGGCCAGGTTCCTGAAAGGTTGATTAGCTAATCCAGGTTAAGATTTAAAAAAGTTAGGTAGGTCAGAGTATAAATTTGTGTTATCATAACTGTATCTTGTAAGTTAAGGCTTATATTGTTATAAGCTTCAGAACTTATCTGTTCTTTGACAAAAAAATAACATTGCTTACAATTTGGCTTATTTATTTATTTACCAGCTTCTCTGGACACAGGCCTACCCAGAGGGAATGTGCATGAACGGGACTCATAGGTCCCATGCAAGGTGCCATCTCTGCCCAATCCCACAACTCGTAAAGGTTGGCCACACCACTGGGGTCTACGATCCCTACTCTTTTCGATAGTGATGTAGGTTCTTTTACGTCCCACAAGAACAAATCAGTGAAAGTGCTGTGAGATGGGACCTAAATTTTTTCATCCTTGTCCAAGAAGACTAAAAAGTCTAACCATTTGCAGATGTCATTACAAAGGCAGCACTTTCTTTTCAACCCTTGGTTAAACTTAACCACACAATTGAAGATTAATGCCACTATGTACTGTTTAAAGTAGTTTTGCATCTTTCTCTCACTTTGCAATGTAAGGTTTTAATTTGTACCAACAAATATAAATTATATAACACTTTTTTTTAGTTTCAAGTTAACAATCAATAACACACATACAGTACTCAGAACAAAACAATACAACAATCCAAGCCTAGTTGTGAGTGTCATAAATGTATGTGTTAGAAAAATAGAGGACCTAAACTAGAGACCAACCTGGGCTGTCATTAAGGATTAACAACAGGGACCAAAAATTTTCCCCGGCTATTATGAATGTGGTCCCTGGCTACTTTCATTGGAAAAGAGAAGAAATATAAAACCAAAGGAAATCCCTAGCTGTTTTATTCCCTGTCTGCTTGTTGTATTTATCAGGCAACTTGAAATCTTGGTGACAACCCTGGCAACTCTCTTGAACAACAGCAATAATGATTTATTTCATATATCATTAACAATAATATATTATTAAATTGAAACAATTTTTCTTTCTTAAATACTTATCAAGGAATCATTTGCAACATTTTAAGACTAAACAGATGTTGGTGTCATATCCAGTAACAAATGCCCTGCTAAATTGGACATTATTAGGGGTTCAGCCAGAGATAATTATTGTCTCTGCAATGATTCTGTGATCTCCCATTTATCATCATTATTATTTATTCTTTAGCATCCCTATTATATACCCTCTCCTGCCTCACACGTCTCTCTAGTATACAAATTTGGGCGCAAGAGAAGGCGTTGCCTGCATGCAGACGTCTCCTATTTCCTTTGTTGCACGCGTGCAACAACGGAAATAGGAGACATCTGCACGCAGGCAAGAGAAGGCAGGAAGGAGGAAACAGCCTCTTCCCTTCTTTCTCCTTCCTATTGTCACTTGCACTTCATCAAAGGTCACTAGCATTTTCCATTTGCCTTTGTTTGTGACCAGGGCACGATAAAACCTAAGGACCTGAGGAGGCGGCAGTTACCAACCTGCTGATTCATGAGAAAGTTTTGTTTTCTTAAGGTGGCTCGTACCAGTTTCCCTCTTTTTTGACCGTTTTTTTTTTTTGTATTTTAATACATTTTTATTTTGTTTTTACAATAAATTCATGTACTGCAATGTTTTACACACTGACCCTTATGAACACGAAAGAAAAATACAAAAAAAGAAAAGCAACCTAAACATACATACATAGCACACACAATTATATACTGATAAAACACATCCCTCCCCAGTACATTCTTCTCTATTTACATGAAAAAATTGATAAATGAAGTAAGCAGCAAAAGGATTGTATGCTAATCAAATTTATATTTGCTTCATTTCATATTGTGGGTCTCCAGCTTATTGTCTGACTTAGCGATCACTGTCTCGATTAAGAAAACAATGTTAACTTTGGAGTTAAGAACTCTAATGAAGGGTGAATATTTGTTCTGTCTACAAGAGTATAGGTATTGTTTTGCCAGTAATAAAATATGATTCACAAATATCTTGTCCTTGCATCCAATAATACCAAACAGTATATCTTTGTCTGAAAGATTTTCGAGCTTGACTTCATGATCAACAAGACATTTTATAGCCTCAGCCCAGAAGTTCTTAGTATAATGACAAGACAGAAAAAGATGTTTGAGGGATTCATCCGATTCACCACATAAGGAGCATGCTGGAGATGGTGTAACACCGATTTTGCATAAGAAGGTATTTGTCACAAGGCATCTGTTTAGTAATTTATACTGAAACTCGCAAGTCTTTGTATCCAAGGCAATGTGATATGGCAAGCTGTAAATTTTTTCCAGTTCAAAGTGTAAATGAGCATTAAACTTTAGTTTAGCAGTTGGTGGAGCGACGGTTCTGTTTCAAAGTTCTTTATAAACAATTTTTGAATACACTTTTTCAAGTAAAACAATTTGACCATTTAAGCTGAACTTTATCTCATCACGCACAATGAATGGTGTGACACCTGTAGAGATGCACGTTTTTAACAATTCACACCATTCAGTTGGTAGAGAATCGAATAAAGAGAAAGGCCTTAAGGCATCTAATTGTGAAAGGTGCAAGAATCTCAACTCGTTTTTGATTATAAGTTCATTTTTATTCGCGATTAAATCACCCACTCAAAGGATTCCTTTCTCAGCGAGATTTCGAAAATACACACACAAATAAATTTGTGCGTGATAAAGATAACTTTTGACAAGTCTTCTATCTAAATCCTGTACATTTAAATTATTTACAGCAGAGCACTTTGAAAAACTTTTTTAGCATTCTTCCTAAAAGGCTGGTAATTTGATAGTCAATTTTTTCAAGTCAAAGTCAAAACAAAAGACTTATTTATCCCCCAACATGTTTCAGTTAATGCAGGATTGTTTTGCATCCACTCAGTTATTCATTGGCTAGTTCAATCCAAAGCCATGGCAGCACTTTTGTAGAGTTAGATTATACAATGAATGCTTGACTTAAAACAACCATAATTTTGTCATCAGCAGTTACCATGACAATGTATCTTAAGGATTATTTGGACCTAAAGGCAAACAATATGCACCACAGAGGTACATGTTTCCAGGAGCAGGCTGGGAAATTTAGGAGCTACTTTCACTGAAATGTCATTCCCTCATTTTAAGCCCTATTTTACGCAAATGCGCCATTGTTACCTTTACACAACAATATAAACGACTGATTCCAAAATTTTACTCTGTCTTCAATGTTCTTTTTCCAAAATACCTGGCCCATAAAAAGAAAAGCTTCTTATACTTTATTACTTTTCCATATATTTATTCATTTCCTTGTGGCATGTGAGAATTGGATTGGACCACAACCCGTGTATTTTTTAAAAGTACTTCTTTAATAATATTTTAGTAAACCTTCAGGCCGTGTCAGGTGGTAAGAGGTGTTGCTTCAGGCAGTAAATTTTACCGGGTTACCACCTGATAAGGAGAACACTGCTGTTTCCTGTCAACTCTGACAAAACATGAAAGCAATAAAAATAGGGGGTCACAGGACTTGTTTTCTTCTAAAATACTTTGAGAAATGACAAATTCCCACGTGTGTTTTTGTGGTTGTAAAATCTGAATCCTATAAGAACATAGGTTACTCATGCGCTGTGTTGACTACCGCTGACTGTTGCGTGTACACTCGTAGGCATCCTTTGAGTTTGTTACAGTCATTGCAGAGAAGAAAAAAATTACACGCATCCAATTTACGCATTGTTATTAGGTTTTCTCATTCAGGGTAATGTTTAGTAACTCAAAACATTGCCTTCTGGACTAACTTTTCAACATAAGCAACAAAGCGAAGTGCCAAAGACAAAATTGTTTGCGGAGACTGACGGGAAAATTGACTTAAAGTGTTCAATTTTCATTATCAACTTGTAAGGTAAACATGATCCAAATGATGAAATGTAGCCAAGAAGATAAAGTGTGGCTAATTGTGGTAGTATTCTAGCTTATTATTTTTGTAGTTATGCTAGTACTTAGAGTGTCATTGCTCTTCTAGTACTTAAGAGTGTCATTGGCCTTCTAATTCCTGTCATGATCTATTGCGGTGCACATTGCATGCAAGTATTCGTTTTGAAACTTACGCACTGAGCGGAGAAATGAAAATATATAGTTAAAACAGGATTTTTTTACGGTGTATTAAGAGTTAGATAAACATGAATTTTATTTAAAACAGGCCAAAAGTAACTTTGCACAAAAATAGCAGCACACTGCCATAGTCGTTTTCTGTATCTTGCACATACAAAGTGAAGTGAGATGCACGCGCAATGGACTCCCCATGCAAGAAAACTAGTACTGGCCACCTTAACTATATTGTGAGGACACATACATATTTCAAACCACTTACAATATTACCTGTTGTTCAACATCAATGTTACCAATCCACGGTTCCTTATGCATGATGTATGACAAGTTGTTTGCGATTCTTTGTTCAAACCGACGAAGGTAAGGTAAAAAGACAATCCGTTCATCACCCAGATGGTCATCACAAGTCTCCACTGCATCTATTGAGCTCAGATAGGAAAGACTCTCCTCCCAGTGCCTTACATTAGTTTCCCATCCTTTCAGCTGCGAGAGATGTACGTAAGTGTGCCCAAACTTACGGATCTTTTCACAAAGTTTGTAGTATAAACGCAATGCATCTTTCATAATAACTGGCATTTTCTGGAATAGATTACATTCCTGAAAAGATGTTAGCTTAGCTTCACATCCTGACAGGTCATACCTTGAACTGAGAACAGTCCAGTAGCCAAAAATCCATGGCTCCATGTTGATGGTCCTCTCTAATTCTTGCAGTAACTCTAGGGAACATTCATCAAAGATGGAACAAACATGACGAGGTAATAATCGGTGAGCAAAACGTGTAAATTCTGGCACCAGGAAAGCTTTACCAGTGGCTGCAAATATAAAAGTAAAGCGGAAACAGAAAATAATTTTCAAATAATATTAAAAATTAACTTAACCCTAGAGGGAAAGGTATAGATATGGAGACTCCTATTACTATTAATTGACATATCAAATACAAGGTATAAGTTTATTCAAACATGAGAGAAAATGATGAGCAAGAAAATTAATTTTTATGCTCATTGGAAAAATGAAAGTTTACATGCATTTTCAAAAACACTTGCAACAATAGCTTTAAAAAGCTTTTCTGGATTAGCAACAACATAACAGGGTGGACATGTTGGTTAACAAAACAAAACAATTTTTTCCTTTCACAGAATTTGAATGAAAAAACGTTAGGCTCCTAGAGTAGGGAAGAGCTTGTACTCTTGTCAACCAACATGGCCGCTGTGTCATTAGTTTCAAACCAGCAATACTAAGAAAGCCACAAAATAAAAAGTGGTACACTTTTTTAACAGCTCTTCCCCTCCCCAAATACAAAATTATAAATATTATAGTACTACATGAGAAATTTCTGCAATTTGATTGGCTTAGAGCAGCTAAATTTGAAATACCTACATGTGAAAATTACAAACCTTTTGTGGGTAGTAGTATAAACAAATAATAGCATGATTTGTACGTGACATTTGGCATAAATACCACTTGTGAAATTGTCTCAAATTTCACTCGCCTAACGGCTTGTGAAATTACGTATAACAATTTCGAAATATCACTTGTGGTATTTATGCCAAATATCACTACAAATCATGCTATTACCTACACAAATATATAGGTATGTACCACAGAATAGGGTATGAAGTCCTCGCTGCTCAAGCATACTGAGATCTCTCAATTTCATTTTTTCAAATGTACAACTGTATCAACTAAATTACAAAACATGCTACTGTTAAGACAGTGCAAACACTGTTAAAATATTCACAATACAGAAAAGAAATAGAATCCACTTGTTTTGAAGCCAGGGATTTGAACTCCAAGCATTTTTTTGCTCAAATAGCCTACCCCAACAACATCATATTTGGTTAACAGAGAACAAATTCCCCACCCCTCCAACTGAGAGCAGGGTTCATCGGGATTTTTGGATCCACTTTTTCTAGACGTTTTCCAAATAAAACAATAATTTCTTTTCCAAGACTCAAAGTTATCAAATAGGTGATCAATAGAGAGTCAGACCTTTAAAAAAAAAATGCAGATAACCACCCATGCAGATTCACATCCTTTCTACTGCTTGTGACGTCATCAGTTTTAATGGTCAAGGACAACTTTGTCCACTTACTTGTGCAGAGTGAAGAGATCTTTCAAACCATACCAGAATGAGCACAATTCAGTCAAGGACACCGCAGAAAAAAGGCAAAAAAAAACATGTAACATTGAAAGGGTTGTCAGAAAGTTTTGAAGTAGACGGCTGAGTTGTCAAAGTAAGTGGCCAGTCCAGGGATACTTTATTTAAAAAACCCCATCCACAAGGAAATGCCAAGCATAGTAGCTGGCCGATACTAACCAAGTAGGCAGCGAGTTTTGCCACCAGCTGGCTTCTTTTGACACCCCTGATTGACCTGAAAATTTCCTTGAAAATCTTGTTCCACTACACACCTACCTTTCCTTTCATCTAATCCTAAGATCCTAAATGCTTTCCTAAAAACTTTTCCCACCAAAATGAAGCCTACTAAATGCCCAGCAAGCGAAAAAAAAACGAGGCAAGAAAAGCGAAAAAAAGGGGAGGAGAGAAAGAGAAAAGTAAAAGTCAAGACTGCTGTGTCACTTTTAAACCCCAAAACATGCCCGAACTTCGCAAGCAAATATTTTGCATCTGGATTAGAAGGCCGTGAAGTGAACGACCTGCAAACAGCTTTGTGGTGAGTTTTAGCTCTGTATAGCACGACAGCGACCAGAAAACCGCTTGACTATCATCAAAACGCGCTTTTCCGCAAAATATCCAGGAACAAATGGGTTAATAGCTGTGAAGCCAGTGGTACAGTCATGTTTTTCACAGCAGAAACTGTTATTTTAAAGGTTCATCACTTGAATGGTTGTATACATTTGAATAAGATAGAGAGGATAAAAAAAGATGGCTTGTTATGTTCTCCTTGACCGCCATCTTTCACAGCTGTATACATGTACCTTCAGATCCTTGTCAGAACAATGGCTGACATCTTTGATTACCACTTATCCAATTACACGGTAATGCAACTGGTTAAACTGAGTGACTCCCATTCCACAATGACATCCATGATCGGAGGAAATTCAAAAGTCCCCACTGCTAGGGTTAGATACATTAAGCCGGCATAATTTTGGGCATAATGCTTTAGTCAGAGCATCAAGCATAATGGCCACTTTTTTCAGCATAATGTGAATGATAATGAAAAAATAGTAATAATTTCCATAACTGTACTACGAAATTTTTACTTTCAAGTGCTTTCAGTAAGGATTAACATATTGGCCGTATTTATACTAGAAGACGTCTTAGACGTCCAGATGCATTAAATGTCTGACTGTTAAGTGCGTCCCGTTTTAATACTATATGTCTTAAACCCTTATTCATCTGTTAAGTGCATTGGACACACTTAACTTCAGACATTTTATTCATCTCACGTTTAATGCGTCTGCCGTATTTCCCGTATTTATACAAGATGTCTATGTTGTCTAAGATGTTTTAAATGTCTCAGACGTCCTCTGGTATAAATACGTCCATTCAAAGGCTTGATTACTAGTTTCAATGTCTTGTTGCACTGTTGCATCATTTTGCTAGTCTGCTAAGGCTGGCCAATTGTCTATCCACCATGGCTGCCAGTTTGAAATTTGTAACAGATGTGGTGAAATGTTGTATTAATGTCTGCGGGGATGCAAAAGGGCATCAAATACAGCCAAGATCAGTCAAGCATAATGCTACTTTTCGAGCATAATTTTAGGCATAATGCCATTGTTTTGAGGGTAACCCTCAAAAGCATAAGGCTCAAATTTTCGAGCATAATGTATCTAACCCTACCAACCACGGGACTTGGTGTCAACACCAACTTCCTCTGTCGAATTCCCTATCAATTTTCAAAATCTAGGACGTGGGGGATTGACAGCCCGGGGGGGGGGGGGGGGGATTGCCATATAGGGGCTGGGTGGTTATGGGCGGCGGGGGAGGGTGGGGTTTTAAAGCAGTTTATTCTAGGATAGGAAATAAAAATCAGGGGGTTTGGGTTGGGGGGAGGGATTCATTTTTCGGGAACTTGGTGAGTTATGCACACACAAAAAGACCACACGGCACAACTTTTGCGCCATATCTCACCCACCCCACCCACCCCGGCGTCTTGTGGACCCCCCACCTCTCTCTCGCAGCCCCCCCACTAGTTGTGAAGAGTCGGGGGGGGGGGGGTTGGGGGGGGGGGGGGGGGGGGGGGTACTGCCATATATGGGCTAGGTAGTTATGTGCCGCTGTGAAGGGTACGGTTTTCAAGCAGTTTACTCTAGGATAGGATATATAAATCAGTGAGTTTGGGTCTAGGATAGGGTATCATTTTTCCGGAAACTGGTCAGTTGGTTGAAGATTTTATCTAGACTAGGGAAACAGCTACTCTAGGATAGGGGGGATTTGGGGAGTTTACTCTAGTATAGGGTAGCAAAATTCAGCTGAACTAACTCTGGTATAGGTTAAGGGTTCCAGGGTCCCAGCGGCACATCCCCACCCAGAAATTCCTATAGTACCCCCCTGGGGTTGACAGCCGCGTACGTGTATGTTGTGGTTTTTCTTCGGTTCACTTTTCGAACCACATTTATTAATTTTTTTAGTCGTTCTATGTGGTTAACAAAATTTTAAACCAAAGACAATTAAAACAATAAAATATATGTGGGGTCAAGAGGATGTATCCTAGAGGTCTATTTCCACGCAGAAAGCTTATCAAAATTAAACTTACGTGCATGATGAAGCGATGTTTGAATCTGGTGCGCGACCTCCTCGTGGTCTTCACTAGAATGACTAAATTGATTCAAGTTTTCCAGCAGACTATTTAATGATGGTCTAAGGTTGTTGTTTCTGATGAATTCCAAAAACATCGTCACATGTTGCTCGTGTACTTCGCACGCCTGCAAAAACAGAGACAAAATATCTTTCCCAAGACCATCATCCGTTCGATACATGTAAGAAGGTAGTGAGGAAGCTATCTTTTCGTGCTTCGATGATTTAACTGTGTTAACTTGTAATTCTACTCTCCACCAAGGTTTAGAGAACAGGGGATCAAATTTACCACGCACCCGAGCGACTCCTGGTTTCTCGTAGAAACTACCGTCCTTTCGCTGCAGTTCTTTCATTTCTTGCACAACTTGGCGAAGTTGACGCGCTGGCTTTTTGATACTGAAGTCGAAATCAGCGCCTTCGAAGATATCCTCGGCTTCATCTTCACTATCAGTGCCAAAAACAGAGTCATCTCCTCGATCTCTGTTCTCTTCTTTCTTGGTATAAGGAGTATAGCCAGTGAAAGAAGGCATATCATAGAGATAATAGGAAGCTTTGAAAAGGATGTTACAAATTAGCTTATCGCTTGCAAATTCCCGCGCAAACGTCGTTTAGAGACTTGGTACTTCATATATGGATAACTCAAGCTCGCAAAGTGACATGGGTTAACCACCGCTGTCAAACGTCTATAAAATCGTTATTTTTGTTTTTTATTGCTGGGATTTCATTTACCAGTTAGAGAAAAATGGGCAAAGATGTATAAATCAGTTAGTTAATCAGTTTTTATTATCTAAACATTAAACTAGCATTAGCCGTTGGCTAAGAAATGCGGGCGAAGATGTGATTAATGAAAACCGCTTTTCCTGCACTAAGCTGAGACCAGGCTATACCTTCATTTTCCTAGCCTCCCCGCAGACGTCCGTTGGGGTTCGGTTGTCACGCATTCATAAATATATTCCAGGCCGGTAAACAAGCTATTCAATACCCTAGGCAAATTAGCCTGCGTGGCAGGCGCAAAAAGGGGAGGGGAGGGGGAGAAAAGCACCCAATCCCCCTCCCTTTTTCCCTTTCTCCCTATCCCCTACCCCTGTCGACGCCTGCTACGCAGGGTAAGGCAAATTTATAAACATGCTTCGAACGCTAAACACCAATCGTGAAAACAATGAGAGAAATGAAGAGGAAGTGTTTAGCTTTGGGGTTTATGTTAGTCTGCCACACGTATACACAGCCGTTTTTAGTGTAGTGGGAGGAGCGTTGCGTGACGACACTAAAAACGGCTGTGTAGCAGACTAGGTTTATGTAAGCTTAAACTGAAATCATTTGTATTAAGCTCAACTCACTCTTTCCGAACACTCGCTTTTCTTAATTGCAATTCTTCTTCTTTCTCAAACTTCTCTGCTGCGATACGCAGCGTCAGCACTGTGAAAAAGTCTGACCATTCACATACCATGAATATGGTCGAATATTAGTTGGAAGAACAACGGAATCTCAAGAATGTGAACAGATCGAGAAAAATCTTGCTATCTGGTTAAAAAAGTGCCGCTGACCAAGTCAAGATTAGGCTGCGGGCTCCTCTTGTCGCCCGCAAAGAAAGGACATTTCCAGAAGTTTTCATTTCCGGCATGCGTAGACGAGATTTTGCCCTAGATCCCGCGCGTGGTGGTCTGACGAGCCAAAATGCTCTATAAAAAGAAAATATAAAACAAAAGAAGGCAAAGAAGCAAGGCTGATTTTACAGTCGGGAATATATAAATATATTTTTACTTGTATTCTCGGTAGAACGTATTTCGTAGAGCGCTCATTTCATTTAATTGAAGAGCATTGACTATTAATAATCACAGGAGTTCAGGCTTCAGGAGTAATTTTAACGGTCAATCGTTGAAGTTGCCTGATGAGTGTGGTCCTACAATTTCGGACCATAAAAAAAGCACTGTCACAATAAACGATCAATGATTCGCTCCTGAAGCCTGAACTCCTGTGATTATTAAATATATTTTTACCAATACTTCGGATAGCCTGTGTACAGACCCCCCCCCCCCCTCCCCCCGTAAAAATTGGAGAAGGGGCCCATTCTTCCATTTTTCACGGGGGGGGGGGGGGGCTGTGCAAAGGGCATATTTCCAAAAGGCAGGCCCTCCTCTTTTCGGGGAGTTTACAAAATTTGTAACAATAGTT